CTCCCTACCCTCTCGGCTCCTTTTCCCGCTCCTTCTTCCTCTTCTTCGTCTTCTTCGTCTCCTGGCGCTCTCGGTTGGTCGGCCAGGCGCTCCGGGATACGCGGCACCGATGAACCTCCTCGCGACCGACTCTTCAGCCAGCCCGGGTCCGGCTTGTGTCATCCATTCGGCGAACTTTCGCGGACCTGTTCTGCAATCTTCGTAACCTGCATTACGCCGCCGTGCTGACAATATGTCATAGGAATGGCGGAGATGAAGACGCGATTGAGTAAATAAATCTCTGACGCGCGTATGCGATTTTTAAATTGTAAAGAAAAGCTAAGACAGTTCAAGATAGATCCGGTATATTTTTCTTCTTTGCCTCCTTCGCCTTCTTCACCTTCTATGGCTCGTGCCACCGATCGATATACCCGGTATATCCGGTATACCCGTTAACCGTCGTAGTTGCATTGGGCAGATGTAGCGCGCACTGTTATGGAAAACATTGCTGCCTTAGATCGGCAGACGAGACGCGTGAGATAACGTTGAACGAAGCCAAGCAGTTCAACAGCAATCTCCGGACAGTGCTCTCTTGACAGCAATCAAATAAATCAATAAAAATGTGTACGAGAGTAGGGCATGTTGTAGATTCTTTCCGGCTTAGCGAATTCGATTGAAGTCGCACTCCATCGCTTTTATAGAAATAGAGAGTTTGAACATTAGTTCTGCCAATGATGCGCGATATCTCGATATTGCGGCATCACGGATTTGTCAGTTTCCCATTCTCGCAAATCAATGTCGGTCCATTCCAAAATCAAATCTCCACATTCATGATTAGCATTCTATATTGAAAAAAAAAACAAAACATGACAGTAGGACACTTGTCCTTATAACCGCGCTTATTGCGCGGTATGCGGGACACCTGTTATCGTGCTCTCAATGAACTACGAAGGTTGGTGGGGTTACGAGGAGAGGGAGTAGTACTGTTCCCGAAGAGTGGCCGCATGAGACAGCGGCGAGGTAGGAGGTTCGCATTATAGGTGTCGACCCGAGGACCTACATTCGCCAGCACGGCGAGGGATGCCGCGATCAGCGCGGAGGACGTATACTCTCTTTTCTCTCTCTCTCCTTTCCTCTCTCTCTCTGCGGGTCGAGGAGGCCCCGTCTCCCGAAGTATTCGTGTCGACGCTGGCCGACTGACTTAACAAGTGATTTTCGAATTCCGTACCGCCGAGATTCTTCTGGAGAAATTATTGTTCGCGTATCCACCTCCCCTCCCTTGCATTTGCGTCTCTGAAAGATCTTTCCTGTAAATAACCACGGGCGCGACTCGGAGGAACTGATGAATGAATAATTAAGCGATGCGTGTCCAGTTTCTCTATCCACATGCAGCGATGTGATCAGCGATAGCAAAAAAAAATGGAAAAAAAAGATTGAAGGACGATGAGATGGGAAATCAGCGAAGAATAATTTCTTCTAGGATTGCTTCTTCTCTCTGTCTCTTTCTCTCTTTTGTCTATTCTTTGTTTATGTAAATTTCACAAACGTGGTGCAATGCAGGAAAGGAAACTATCGATATCTCTGTGGAAACATTATGAAATACTTTAATCTTGCCATTGCTGCTTTAAAAAAACTTGATATTTTTGTTTTGATTAGATCAATACGATTTCTCTCTTGATAAAAAACCGCGTTCGCTTAGAAATCTATCATATATTGCAAAAGGGAATTATAAAATTAAATTACCGCTGTAAATTACGAAGAGTCCGAAATTATCTGTAATGAGCGATTTGATGGATAAAGAAATTCTCTCGCTACTGGGGAGACATAAACAAAGTAATTCACGATTCGTTGTACGTAATTTTGCAGGGAACCCAGAGTGATTTCTTCGCCGTGGAGTTTTACGTGACTGTGTGGCCATGGCTCGCGCACAAGATTACCGTGACATTTCCTACAAAGAATCGCGCGCGCCATTAAAGTCATTAATAACCGATCCGTTGATTCTATCGCGGCACGCAGGCTGTTTTCCTCTTCCCGTTTTCTCACCGGCAAAAGAAAAGAAGCTTCTATTGCGCCACACACCGCGTTGCGGCGGCATAGGACAGCGCTAATAAAGTCGCGCACCGTGTCCTCGTCGAACGCGGAACAATCCGATCGGGCAATTATCGAGGAGTGATCGAGGAATCGACGAGGGATAGTTCCTTCACGATACGGGGAAGGAACACAGTTGTTCGTTAAGCATACGGTTCGGAAAACGAAATCGCGTCAATTGCTTCTGCTCGAAAATCGAATTACAAGTTCCGTGCACGGTTCGTAAATCACAGGAAATAATGTTTTACCTGAATCGTACAAGCCGTCGGAAATTTCCTTGAACATCGAGAAAGTTATCGTCGGTCTCCCGATAATTATTGCCAGTTAAAAAGTTATTCAGCTATGTTATTTGTACATTTCAATTGCATGCATCAGCAGTTTAACAGACATTCTTACACTTACTTTATACATATATTCCTCGTTAAACGCACTTCCTTTGATTGCAAATTCCTTGATCAATTTTACTTCGATTGTTTCTTCACGGAAATGCTGAAGTATCCAAAGCTGTTTTGTCGTAAGTAATCATCATCATCATTATCATCATCATCAATCCATCGCGTCCACTGCTGGATATAAGTCTCCCTAAAAAGTATTTGGCCATTTACGCTGGCAAATGCAGGTTGATAGATGAATGGAGAAACGGTGGGGTACACATATTAGTTGTAAGTAAGATAGAAAATAAAATACTTTTTTGAGAGTTGAACATTTTACGGAAAAGTGAATGAGAATAAAATTATATTCGGCAGTTAATTTCAAGTAGACTTTACTTTGACAGAATTCTAGTTCGAGACTTAAAAATTATATTTACTAAAATTTGATAAATTATGATTTCTCTTCATCTTGAAGGAAAGATTAATTCGAAACTTGACCGAAGAATCTATACAGTTCAGAGGAAGTGCGTTTAACAAAAGACGTTCTGCATCATGTAAGATCTTATCGTTCAATGAGATATCGTCTTCATTCAAGATGCATCATCAATTATCGAATACCTTGGCGCACACCGGTGCTCCAAATGGCATTAAGTTCCTAGGATGCCGAGGAGAAGCGAATCACCATTACGGGGCGTTATGGTGGTTCCACCGTTAGGCCTCGCCATGCACCATCAACCGCCGCAACGACGACTAATATTACGTTTACTGGCGTAAAGCATCTGCCATTACCATCCACCGACTATCGGCTAGCCTTGCATAATCTCAATACGGTTATGTATATACTGTTAGTCTCGAGCAGATGTTCGTTCGCGAGACTATCCTTAAAGTAGAGATCGGATTGCAGTTTGGGAAACAGGGATAGCCGAAGGCCAAATTAACCGCGTTTTGGCCAAACACTCTCAGAATTATTTAAAATTGGTACAATTTTTAAGATCTTTTACGGTCCAAGACTTCAAGACTCATGAATAAAACATCAGCTTTTTGTACTCCCTTCTTGATTACTGTTCCACGTACAGTTAGGCCGATCTTAGGGAAACGAAGATAGATTTACGTGTTCTCCAGTTATTAACCTTGCGGTCAAGCGTCATTAGAAGGTATACGATGAGGTTGCGCAGTATGGGATTACCTAAGCAATTCTAATTCATATCCCACGTGATCACTATAGTGATTCTATAATACCGAGGTACCTCTACTAATATCAAAATAATAGACATAGTTGAGAGCTGTTACCAGTACATAAGAAAAGCGAGGAAGTTCTTGCGATGTTTGGGAGATTTATATAATTGTTTTCGCCACACGACGAACACGCGGTTGATTAACATAACGAACAGTCTCTCCTTTTAGGTTCATCTTAGATGTTAATTGAAAGCTAATCATCCTTTATTATATGCGGGAGACGGATCACGCCGATAATTTGCGAGGCATGCCTCGCCAAACTTTCACTCTTACTCACGTGATCGTCGCCCTTCTCTCTTTCCGCCAGAATGATCTGCGGCCGTGCAGAGAAATTCTTTTGCCGCTGCAATTGCCGTGTCGACGGCAGCTGCATAACGCACAGGAAGTCCTTGCCGCAAACTGGATTCCTGCGATTTACCGATCGGAGCGCTTGGAAAAATATACTAACGAAACATTTTTCGTATACGTGTCATCGATGCTTTAATTCTTGCTCGCGAGATTTTCTATTTTTCGCGCCCTTGTAGAAATATACCGCGTGGGGTAATTATTAACTGCTCTATACGCTCCGCTGGGTTTATACGTACCCAGCATACCATCGCGTGATGGTACTTCATGACCGTACGTACGCTCACGAATCCTTCTACTTTCATCCGCGTACATGTTTCCGGTGTATTAAGACTAAAATAGACAGAAAAGCGAGATGGGAATAGTAATTCTGTAAAAAAAAAACCTACGTAACAAGAGATCATACATAATCTTGGGATTAGGAAAAAATATCAGGAAGCAAATATCTCTGCATGCTCTGTGAGCATTGCGACAAGCATATCGATGTAAGCGTAATTTGTAAGGACAGGTTTCCGCATCCTATATGGAATTAAGATTAATAAAGTTTTCGTGATTAAATATTAGTTCTATTACATTATAAGAAGTTTATAAATTATAAAGGACCATTTATTGAAATTTTTAATCAAATTTTTAATCATAATTTGTAGAATTATTTGAAAAATTTGATAATGTGCTTTATTTTGCATGAGATGAAATTTTTTCAATATGTTACGTGCTGCTATAATTGTGAAGAATATGTTAAAAGTTTTTTCTATTGGTAACTTTGATCATTTTCTCGAAAGTTTGAAATAAAGAGCATTTTAAAATAAAAAATATTTCAAGTTACTTGGTTTTTAACGTACAATCTGGTCATGTAATTTTTTTCATAGGATACTATTTGTAATTTTCATGCACAGTACATGAGCGGGACTCAATTGACCACGTCGTCAATTGGTTTAAAATAAAAATATCTGATTGGTTGGTTCAAGGGAAAATTCCAGGCATCGGGGGCTGTGAGTAGCTGTGATCAATCGCTGTGGTCAAATGGGACGCTCCCTTCTGCTTACCAGCGCGAGTTCTGATTGGTTTCGGCGCTTTCTGCTATTCTGCCAAGGTGTGAATTTTTCCGTAGTCCGTATGTCCGTATTATACACAGTGTTCCGGTGGTATACGTCACTTTAAGTACAGGATGGTCAGAATTTTAGGTTAGGTGGAGTACGCCCAGCGATTCATTTCTGTCGTTTCGTCTCGTGAACGCTTTCCAGCTCATCCGTTTCAACATGACGTACTTGAACCAACCGGATTACGTGCGCTACTTGTGCAACTGCGGCTCCTTAAAGCCTATATCGAAGATATATTTCTGCCGACATTGCTTGATGATACGATGTGGCTACTGTGTCTGTCAAGAGGTGCGTTCTGTAAAATTTAAGTAAATCCGTACAGAAGGGTATATATTTAATGGGACGAACAGTCGGAAATATATTTAATAATTGAATTCACCTCGGACACATATTCTGACCTGTACAAAAAAGTTCTTATGATCCTTACAAAAAAATGTCTCTTGTATTCAGGTTGATTCCCATTACTGTCCTAATTGCATGGAGAATTTGCCCTCGTCGGAAGTGCGTCTTAAAAAGAACAAGTATGTTTACATATATCATAGGTTTCACATATGAGATTATGAATTCAGTTACTGTTAAATAATTATGCATTGATAGATGTTCCAATTGCTTCGACTGTCCTTGCTGTTTTCAAACGTTATCTACAAGAGCGGGACTAGCACCTGTGAGAGCAGCAGCAGCACCAGCTGAAGGAGAAGAGAACAGGGATGTGAAACCCACTAAAAAAGTATATTATCTATTTTGTTCGCTATGCCGATGGAGCTCGCGAGATGCAGGGATACCTGATCAATCTGTAGGTAAGAAGAAATTTGATTAAATAATTTTATAAATAAGAGCTGGATGTAACCATTTTCACAAAAATATATTTTGAATTTCTGCTCGTAGCAACTGGAGGCTGGCCCGAGCAGGAAAATCCACATGTAACACGTATCAACGCTCTTATTGATTATCACAAGATACTGGCCTCTATAGAGAAACAGCAGTGCGAACGGAAGAAATTTCATCCAAAACGCTCCTTCATGCCAGCTGTAAGTTTATCAAGAGCTAATTATTTACTCGCTCAAAGGCATTTTTTCTAACTATTATTGCTTGCCAATAGCAGACAATGTATAGCTTTACATCAGCGCTGGTTCGCAAGCGTATCGGACGTCCCATAAAACCACCAATTCAGTCTCAATCATCTGCTCATCCAGTACCGTCCGTTGCAAGTGAGGAAGTGGACGAATTACCGAGCGATATATTTACAGAATCTGTGGATATAACTAAAAGTAAGAAAACTTTCAATAACGTGAGTGGCGGCATTGATGTAGATTTTGTTCTGATCACGTATAATTTTGTGTAATAGTTACCACATTGGAACAAAGATTACAACACCCGGAGGTACAAGCTGAGAAGATAAACGAATTGCGTCCTCAGCACAGACAGTTTTTAGTCAAGAGATCGCAACGTTGCAGAGTGTGTGAGCATAATGTTAGCAAATCGGATCTTTGCCCTCAGTCGACGAAATTCAAAATTTTACTAGCTGCATTGTAAGTATCGCATCAATTATTATTATTATTAATTTGAATACTAACAAAATTTTTATTTGTATCATATTTTCTTGGATACATGATAATCAGAATTGCATTTTTTTTTTAGTTATCACATTCCGGAAGTTAAGATCGTTACTTGTGAACCACTTCGACTGGGGAAATCAAGTGAACTGCTTCTAAAATTCTGTAATCCAACACAGCATCAAACGCAAATAACTATATTACCTTTAGATACCTCGTTATCTACTTCACTCCCCGAGGAAAAAGACGTTAAACAAGAGGATACACAAGTAATATCAAAATAAAATGTTATCACACAGTGTAACATAATTTAATAATTTGATTATAATTACAGGGAAGTGAATCTCCAAATTTATTGCCGTCTACTATACGACAGGCACCTGTAACGGAAGATCCTAAGCTAATAAAAGTTGCGCCGAATGCAGATTTGGTGATGCCTCACAGTTCACTGATTCTTCCACCACGAGATGATGCTGCTGAATATGATGATACAAGTGATAATCACAATTTTCAGGATGATCCAAAGTACGTAAAATATAAAAATTATAAAGATAAAATTAATACGAAGATAATATATAGGTTTCATCATTTATATAAACATTTTTTTAGGCTTGTAGTGTGGCGAAAAGGGAATAAAGCAGTGATACGTTTGCACGTAACTCCGCACGATACTAATAAAAATACTGACGACCCAGTTATAGTTGGATTTGTCATGCAACATGGATACGTAAATACCATTGCAGCGCTTGAGCATAAATCACCGCAAAAAGTAGATGTAAAGGTCAAGTTATATCTCACCGTTGGTCAGCTAGTTGGCGAAACATAATCTTTTACGATTTAATTAAGTATAAAATAGAATATTCTATACATGAGTGCTTTATAGATTTTTTAATAGTCGATTGAACTAAACAAGATACTTAAATATATTTATGCTTTAAGCTTGATATTCACTTTAATATATTCATTGATACTAAACACATTAAATGTAGGATCCAAAGACGCTCTTAATCAATGTAATTTTCTATATATTTTTTAAGTTTAAAATTTGTTTTTCTATATACTTGTAAATAAGGAAAATAAACTCACAGATTAATACTTATTTATATATTAATTTATATCATGAAACTGTATCATGCCTCTTTTAGGGATATTATAATAATAAAAAGTAAATTGTAGTTTTAAAGATGTGTCATCTATATAAAAATTAGAGAGAAATTGTATAATGTGTTTCACAGAAATGCAATGTTTCTTTTTCTTTAAATATTTATTGAAAGATAATAAACCATATAGATGTGGCCATAAGAAGAGCTTATAGCCTACGTCCACGACGACCTCCCTTCCTGCGAGTAGAATCTGATGGGATAGGAGTAACGTCTTCGATGCGACCAATTTTCATGCTGGAACGAGCTAAAGCGCGCAGAGCAGATTGCGCACCTGGGCCAGGAGTTTTTGTTTTATTGCCTCCCGTAGCTCTCAGTTTGATGTGCAGTGCCGTGATGCCCAGCGATTTGCATTTTTCTGCAACATCCTGCAAAGTGGAAAATCAGTTTATGATTAATATTTTAATATTATATTAAATATTTATACGCGATACATAAATAACTAAAATAACATATGTTTTGTGGTGACCATGTATCTCTTTTACCAGCATGGTACACTACATAATCGCGCGCAGGCGAAAACGCGCTTTCTCACGAGCGCTCGACCGCGCCGACTTAAGTAAACTTAAGTAAACAAATTCTACAACAATATTCATTGCCCTGATCGACGCTCTCACCGACTATCTCATCGGTCGACAAGAGCTAGGGCATATACCTGTGAAGTCTCACCATCGCGACTCGCAGAGAGTCGCATGGTATTTTGGGGGACTCATACTCCATGCATTCAACCATGCACTCCTCCATCAACTACGACCGACACCGATATAAATATCCCCAAATGCTTGAATGTTTTCTTTTCTTATAGAGAAAAATAGTGCACAATACAAGCACACGTTTTCGATTATCAAAAAGAATTTGCTTTCCCACAAACATGAACGCCCCTTAGATCAATCTATGATTCTAGGTGCTGCCTGGATGTGGATAATGATATAACGGTTTCTCCAAATAATCCAAATGTTACTGATAATTAAATCCAACGACATACCTGAGCTGCTAACATAGCTGCGTACGGCGAGGCTTCATCACGATCAGCCTTTACCTTCATGCCACCGGTGACTCTAGCGATCGTTTCCCTACAAATACAGAGATGCGATTATATATTAAATTTACTGAATTAAGGTCGATTCAGACATCACAGCCGTGCCGTACCCGTACCGTATCACGGACAGAAACATTAGACAAGGATTCCTATTATCTCCATCCTTGTCTAATGTGTCTTCATCCTTGTCTAATGTTAATGATACGGATACGGTCCAGGTACGGCACGGCTGTCTGAATCGACCCTTAATGTCTATAATCACGTATCATAATCTAACGTAGTACAAACCTGCCCGACAAATCGGTGACATGCACAAATGTGTCGTTGAAGCTGGCGAAGATGTGAGCCACTCCGAAGACTACCTCTCCCTCGCGAAGTTGAGGTCCAAGAGAGACCTGCACTTCTTCCTTCTGTACCTTTCCTCTTTTGGGCGGCATTTCTGCAGAAATAGCGGATAACTTCGATTATTACTCTGTAACTCGATCGTCTATCACTTTACTCGTTACAAATATCTGTTACAAACATTCTCGAGATAGACTTTAAGGTTATGTCGCGATACGCGAAGAAAGTACGCTATCAACGTGAAAATTCATCCAGCCACATCCATGCTGGGCTGTCAAATACAAAGCAATATCGCGGTTGGAATTTAATTATAAGTGCTCAGTTAACGAATCTAACTTAATATTTTTGCTAGATAAACGATATTTTTCGTTAAAATACCTGCGAATTGTAAGGACTATAACCTTCCCGCTTCAGCGCGACTTGCACAGGAATCGTAAAAGGAATAGGAACGATGTGGAATGATGCTTCCGGTGGCGGCACTGGCGCAACTTGACTAGGGATTTGACAAAAACGCAACCATTCTGCGCACGCTAACAGGGAATTTTGCTGCGTCGTTGCCCAACGAGCATCGGATACCAATAAAAAAAATTCGTTCCGTAGTAAGAAATAGTAATTAGCTCAATTTTTCCCTCATTGAACGTCGGATCTTACGAACAAGATTTTTATGAGACTAAAATTTTATATTAAAAATGTTTCCTTTCCTAAGATAAATTAGTCATATTGTTCTCTTATATACTGTATATGTATGAATATAATTTTTATTAAACTTTGTACTTATACAAAATAATGTTTATTCATATAGATGTATATAAATATATAACGTTCACTTTTATGTGTGTGTATAGTGTATATATATATCTTCTTGTATGTTTAATGATTACTCGGAATCGCTTATAATAATGAATTGTCCACGAGTTTTCTTCGGCTGTGCACTTCTGGTATTCTGCTTAAAAAATGTAGATGCACTCGTTAGATGTATTCAAATTTACATAAACAAATTTTGAGAACAAATACTTTTAGACTATTGTACGTACCAGCATTGTCGCAACAGAAACGTCCTTTTCATTAGATTTTCCTCTACCGCGGCCTCCTCTGGATCCTCTACCGCCTCTGGAACCTCTACCCCTTCCTCTAGTAGTCTTAGTCGAAGATTTAGATGATGTATCTAAATCTTCATCACTGTCATTACTGTCAATTGTTGTATTGATATTGCGAGACTGCTTAGCTCTAGGACTTGGTGGTGGTCTGCTCAGTGCTGCTTCTCGAGCCTGCAAAAAAAATATTTTTTGAAATAAAAATATTACGTACGTATGTATATAAAACTCATAATAGTCTCATTACATTTATCTGCTCTTGCTGTTCTTCCGACAGCCTTTTGTCACGGAAAACTTTAATTTGTTCGCGAATCTCTTCTGGTGTCTCAGTATTTTGCGTTTGTAGATATTCAATGGTTCTTGTCATTTGATCCCTAACGGACCAACCATAAAACAATGTGAGTTACAAGTTGTAATTCTCGAGTATTTAATTCAGAAAATAAATTCCCATTAAATTACCTTACGATATTCTTAAAAGCGTCTATATCGCTTAGTTCAACATATCGATGTAAAGCTTCATTTAACGCTGCCACAGTCAATACTGTTAACTTATCTTTATTCTCTTCCATGTCAAAATATTTTTTAATTCCCCCTGGTACCGTGCTAGTCCATTCCTGTCCCAACTACAAAAAGAAAAATTCTGAGCAATTCTAAAATATAAAATCAGCTTAATAATTCATTTTAAATAAACAAGTGTTTTACATCTCCGTGAAATAATTCACTAATATCATCCAAATCATCAATTCCGTCCTGAATGGCACGTTTTCCTTTTTCTCCGCTCTTCATTTTACGAAACAAAATCATCTCCATTGGATTAGCAACTACATCACAGTATTTTTGCGCCAAACTAAAAGCAAACATTTTTTTTCCTTTAAAAGTATGCTAAGTAAAAGTATAAAAAATTTATGGGAATTTAGAATTATGTAACATTAGAATAATATAACATTTACAAACCTTAATGTATCAAATTGTTCATTATCATCGTCATAAAATATTCTTAATCGAATTAAAGGTTGAAGTGGTTGATTAGGGTATTCTAGAAAAAGTTCGATTTTACGTTATAATTTAAGTTTACATATTAAATTAAAAAATAAAAAAAATTAAAAATAAAAAAAAAAAAAAAAAAAAAAAAAAATAATAAAAAAAAAAAAAAAAAAAAAAAAAAAAAAAAAACCACGATATTCAAAAAATAGTATCTAAAGCGATTGACATACCTGTAAGTTGTTCAGTAGCTCTAGGTATCATTTCATTTTCGATGTAATGATCTACATATTGACTTATAGAATCTGCCAATGAGACGCGATCCCGTATCTTAATGTCATGATCGTTGAGAATCATGTTGTCAAAAACAAATGGTCGAACGCTTTTCAATTTTAAACTTTTCATCTTGAAATTACTCTTATTTATCTTAAGAAGACCCACATGCTTAGGTTTGGATTCACTTTCGCACAAAGAGGTAACAATGGAGCTTCCTAAAATTAATTTAGTTTATAATTTTAGAGAAATAAATTGAAAATAACACCCAATTATCCATCTGATATCATAAAGAAAAATGTACATAGTTTTACCTGGCTGGGATATAAAGTATCCACCTTCCGCATTGAATTCAGGAGTAATACGACACTCATGCTCGTGACCCCAAACAACCAAGTTGAGGAATTTGTGCAGTTTACTTTCAGGTATATAAGCATAATCGCCATGCTTGACGCGATTCTGATGTAAAACAAATATGTTGAAGGTCTCTATGTCCTTTGCGCGCAACAATTCCACCTATTTTTCAAACATTACATTAGCTTCTGACTAGAATAGAAAATCAGATAGAAAATGCTTGAAATAAATATACCTTGTCATCCCTGTATAATCTCGACAACCTCTGGTCATTAATATAACTCAAACCATAAAGTGCAACATGGGTGTTACGTTTTTTCAAGATTAAGGGAGACACAACTACGCGATTAAGATCTGTCCATTTTCCAAAGTAATTCACAAGTCCAGTGGCTGACAGTACGTCCATTGATCCGACAGTGCCAAAACCTACGAGATAACGAGTAGAATATAATTTAAGATTTAGAGAAAAAGCACTTAAGCAAAGGGAAAAAGTTACATACTTGGATCGTCATGATTTCCATGGATAGTAAATACCGGCATTGAGACGTTCAGATTCGGATCCTCATAATTCACGTGCTTCTGTGCACAGTGTTGGAATACCAATTCCGAATCGCTCAAGAACTCCAGCTTGCATTCTCTAAAAATGTAACAAAACCGTTACAATGCGCTCTTATGTGTTCACTAAAAATATCACTTACATAATAATTAATTTAGCTTAGTGTCAAATCTAAATATCACTCACTTAGTGCCCAGGCAATATTTTCGCAGCAATTCCACGCATTTAAGTAATGTGACTTGCGTTGGCTTAGTGTCATGAAACAGATCACCGCCCAGCAGAATAAAATCAACATTGTTGTCCTTGCCATACTTCAATATTTCTTCGAACGTCACGAAACTCTCTTCCGATTGTCCTCCTGTCGAGAGAAATGATATAAAGTTAATCGTAACGTCGATCTTCAATCTTACATGCGTGCCACTTGACGTGTCTCTTCTTCTACAATCTTGCTGAAAAATATATCGTCACGCGGACAAACCTCTCTTTTTGCTGTAGTCGAAACCGAGATGAATATCCGTGGCCACTAGAATGTTGATAGTGTCCTCCGGATCCATGTGCGTGCTAGAGGATTCCGACATCTCTCGCGATCGTTGTACCAGGTGGCAC